CTTGTATGTACTATTGATTCTTCTATATTTTAATCCTAATTTTCTTGCTCTTTTTTCAGATATTCCATCAACATCTGTTCCTGTATCAATTAATGCACTTGACTTAATGTCATTAATTGTTATTAATATTTTAAGTGTCTCCTTTTTTTGTTCTCCTAGTAATGATATTTCTAAATCTGATGTATAATCAGGTGTTTTATATAATATTGCTTTACAATTTCTCTTTCCTCTTGGTGGTATATATCCTGTATTTGGTGCTATAACCATTCCCTTTTCAAAATCTATTTTCTATCCTGATGCTTTCAAAGTTTCATTTTCTATTATTATATAATGGATTCTTGTTCCATTATTTCCATTTCCATCTCCTCCAACAGTTCTATTATCATCATTTATAATAAAGAATTCTAATGTCGCCAATTCTGTTTCTTTAAATTTCATTATTATATGTCTACCACCATTTATTGCTTTATTTGTACTTGGTGCCACAGGAAGTATACCTGTCTGCTCTAATTCCTGTACATCACCTCTTAACATTATTTCTATGTTTAATCCTATTCTTCTAGCTGTAAATTTACTTGATATTATATTATAATCTATCATAGTAGTAAAATATACAGGTATTTTATATCTGTTTATTTCATATATCCCAGTATTAATTGTTTTAGGTGCTGACACAGTAAATAACATTTCTGGATCTACTGTATCACTATCCTCATCACTGCTTTCTTCTTCACTTTCCTCACTATTTTCCTCACTTTCTTTATCATATATGCTTCTAGTTCTGAATCTAGATCTCTGTCTATTTGATGGTCCTTCTAGATTGGTTCTATATTCTGGTCTTGGTGATTTAGTAGGTAAATATCTTATTATAGGTATAGTTTGTCTAGATCTTCTTGGTGGTGTACTTTGTCTTCTTCTTGTGGGTGTTCCTGGACTATCTGTTACATTTTTTACAGGTACACTAACTCCTCTTACAAACACTTGTCTTTCAGGTGTATTACTATTTCTTATCTGTCTTATTGTTGGTATCGGGTTAGGACTTTGTCCTCTAATTCTTCTTGATTGTCTTGTAGGTAATCTACCAGCTTCTCTTGGAGGTTTTCTCCCTCTGTTAGACATTATACTTTTATCCCAATAGTTTATAATTTCCTTTATTAATAATAAAATAATTCGTTACAAATGTAATTTCAAATACAATATTTGTTTAGTTAAAATATAGTTAGATTATATTTCTAATTGTTTGTAATTTCATTGAGTTGTTTGCGTTTTTCCTCCACTAATTGTTCAACATGAACAATCATGTCCTTTTTATAATTTTTGCTACTACTAATTCCTTTAATAGTTTCATCTGATGGATCAAAATATTCACATACAGCACTAGTGATTCCTAATTCTTTTTTTAATTCTGTTTTTTCTTCCATTAATTCTGTTATGGTTTCTTGAAGTTCAGAATTTTCTTTTGTAAGTATTTTAATAAGATTCATTGCTTCATCAAGGTCTCTTGTTAGATTGAATTTATTTACTCTTAAAGAATCAATTTGTTTCTTCAATTCGTCAGTTAATAATTTAGCTGTTTCCACCTCTTTTACTCTATTAAAAGTGTCTTTAGTTTGCGTCAATAATTTATCTCTTACTAATAAAATTTATTGTTTCATTTCCTTAAATTCTTCTTGTAAATTGGTATATTCCTTTATTAGTTCTTCATATTTAGAGCTCCACTTTTTTGTTTCAATTTCATTTACTTTAATTTTATCGTTCATGACTTCTTGCATTGTAATGCTACTTCTAATCATTGTATCCTGTTTTTTAATTATATTGATTAATTCTTTTTTAGAACATTTCATAATTTCATCTTGATATTCGTCACTTTCAGTACTAGGAGTAATATCCATATATTCTCCATCAATAGTTTCATCCGATTCTTTCATGATCACATCTTCAGATGAGGTTCTTTTATTGAATGATACTTTCTTTCCTTGTTTTGATGTTTCTTCAATTACCATCGGTATTTGTTGTCCCGATTTCTCCAATTCTTTTCTCAATACACTCGGTGATTTAGGATATTTGTATTCTTCAGCAATCTGTTGATAGTCTACTCCCCTGAATACTTCTAATTTTTTCTTTGCGTCATACCATCCTACATGTACCTCAGGTCTAGGTTCAACTGGTTGTGGTTTTGACAATTCAATGTAACTCTCTTGATCATTATTAATCTTTAACTTTTCAAGTTGTTCAAGTTCTTCCTGAAGGGATTGTAATTCTCCTTCGTTGTACATACCTTGATCCATCTGGATCACAATATTATTAATCGATTCTTCCACCCATTCTTCATGTGTTTTAATGCATGTGCATTTATCTGCCACAAGCATTCCGTTTCCTGAAAGTTGTCCACACTATTTACAATAACTATGTGTATGGTGATTTTCTTCTCCGCAAGTATTACAACCTCTCCTTCCTCTACTAATATACCATTCAGAGTTGATTCGTGCAGTTATTTGTTCCTTCGTTTCATCCTTCCTTAATTCTTTAATCTGGTAATTCTTTACTTGACAAGTTTCGCACTGATTTTCAAATGAATCCTTAATAATCCATTCGCATGTAATACATTCTTGTTCTCTAGATTTCTTGAAATTTTTTCCACTTCTAGTTCTCCCATACTCTTGTTGTGGTTTTTCATTATTTCTTCGGAAATTATATCCTCTTGTAAGATTCTATTGCATTTCTTCTTTTGTTTTTAAATATTCGTCTTCTCCCATAGTCTCTTTTAAATTATTTAATTCATTTTTCCATTCTTTATACTTTTCATAATCTTTCTTAGTATGTCCAAATCCTTTACAATGGTAACACTTTCCTTTAAAGGTATCTTGCCTGGGTTCTTTGAAATTCGATAAGTTTGATGTACGTGTTTGAGATTATTTTGTATAATGTCCATTCTTCCATGAATAATTTACTTTTTCTTCTTTGTTCATCAAGTAGTCAGAGTTCTGATAAGAGTGCATTTGCGATTCTTGATGCTGTTGCGAGTGCATCGATTGTCTCTGATTTTCTATACTTTCTTGCTCTCCAATTGTTCGGATCAATATTGTAGGTTCGATTTCCACCGTTACTCCTACCTGTTCTCTCATAGTTTCTACTTCCTGATCCCATCCGTTCATTTCTAGGTGTTGTTGATCGATTTCTTCATTGATTTCTGTTATTCTTACCATTTTCTTCTTTTAAAATAATTTTTACTGAGCTTTCTCTTGTATTCGATTTTTCAGGTTCTTCAGATCATGGTCTTTCTGTTAATTGTTGAAGATCGTGTTCAATGGTCTCCCAATGTTCTTCAATTTGTCCGTTTTCGATCTGTTCAGAGCTCATCAATATTTCTGAAGTTTTCAGTAAGTTATTTCCAACTTAATTTTTAATTTTCGATTTTTTCAACTTGTAATTTTCTAAGTTCTGACGTGTTTATTTTATAATTGTTCGTTGACTGTCTACTCGTGACTTCATTTTTCAATTCTCATTTTTCGTTGGTCATTATTTGTTTATATTTGTTTACTTTCTCGTGCATAAATTTTTCATATATTTTCATATAATTTCATATATTTTCATATATTTTTATAATCGTATAATTCTACTCTTGTATCACAATTTGTCTATTTATTTGTTATGTATTCCCTTTTCCTTTTTTTCATCTTTTAACAATGCCTCATATTCGAAATCGTCATTCTGCTCGTCTTAATCAAAATAATTACTTCAAAAGTTCTCCTAATAATAGTCCTTTACTATATAATCCTAATCAATTTCCTATGCCTCGTACTCAGGCACAAATAATTAAAGAGCTTCGTGAAGCATTAAAATTTTCTGAAAAGTGTCTTGATTATTATCGTAAAAAATATCATAAATTAAAAAGTTCGTTTCCTACCCGTATATTTGGTCAAAAATATGCTGAGCCTTTGATTCCCAGTTCAAATCCTTCTCGTGAGGATATATCACTTGCTGATTGTTATTCATCTTGTGTAAATACTCCAGATAATCTTTCTGTTATCTCCATTTCTGATTAATAATATTGTATAACATTTCCTTATAGTTTATTATTCTTGTGACGTTATTCTATTCATGACTAATCTTATTATTCGTTTTACAAATTATCTATCTCTTCGTTTATTAGTTTTTTAACCAGTTTCATCTTGCTTATCATATTATGCATAGTCGCGTTGTTTTTTGTGTAATTGTTTTATTTATCATGAGATTAAATTTTGTATTACCCGTAAATTAAATCATTTTTTCTTTTTTGTATTTATTCTTTTGTTTTGTTTACTTCCACCCTTATTTATTTTTGTTTCACAATATATTCTCATTATTTTCTCCTATTGGTTCTACTCATTTAAATTTTCAATCCATTCACACTTAAATTGTCGTTGAAAAGTACTTGATCAATTAATTCAAAAATGTCTTCCATTAATCCTATTATTGTTTCGTCAAGTCCTTTACCTACTAAAAAAACTCGTAAACCTCGTGCTCTCCGTGCACAACCTTATTCTAAAGAAAGTTCAAGTTATTCTAAAAAGTCTGAATCTAAAGTCCGTGATGATTCCTCTGGTGAAAGTTTAAACTTCGAAAATTATTCTTTAAAGTATTCAGATCTAAGTTCTGACAATAAAAAATCTTTAAAGCAATGCAAAAATACTCCTCTTCAACAAGCTATCCGATATTCTCTAGGCAAAGTTAATTCCTCTATCGATACTATCCAATTCAAGCTTACATCTCTTCAATCTTCCTTTGATCATGAAATCCCTGATATTCATAATCAAATCAGTCAACTTTCTGCGGATGTTCATGAAATTCGTGATTTATTATTAGTAGTTGTTCAAAATATTCAAGCTCTTTCCATAGCTTTCCCTTCAATATTTCCATATTCTTATTCTAATAGTCCTATACTTCCTTTGGTATCTTTAGATCATAATTATGTAACTGATTTATCTGTTAATCTTCCCGATTTTTCTTCTGATATCATTAATGCCCCAAATGACTTTGATCAACAACCTTTATTTGAATAATCTTTCTTGTAATTGGTTCAGTTTATTTGTATTCATTACCTTTAATAAAAGTATATTTAGAATTCATTATGCCTTGTGCAGTTTCTTATCAATCTTGATTTCATAATCATGTCATTGATTGGTTCTTCGTTGTTTTAATTCTTTATTTCTGTATTTGTTTTCATTACTATTTCTCTATTGTTTTTCCAAAATTATTTAAATTTGCTCTTATCTTTGAATTATTAATTCATTTTTCCTTATTAATCATTACGTAGTTGTTTATCTAATTCATTTCGTAATTCCTTCGTGGCTCTTGGTGTTCCAAATATTGTACTCCTCCAATTATTATACATTCTGTTGCAAGTTTCCTTTCTTTTCTCAATTTCTCTTCAGTTTCTTCTATTACTATTTAATGGTATTATTCTTAATATTATTATTATTCTTATTATCGTTATTATCCTAATCTCTTATTATTCTTTTTCTTTAAGAAATATATTCCTAAAGATAAATCATTCAAGCACAAATTGGTTCCTCATTATCTCGATATAATCTGTCGTCAAAGATTAATTCATCATCGTCTCATTCGTCTTGAAAATTACACTCAATCCTCTGAGTTTCTTTTTCTTAATAAATCTCATCAACAAGCCATCTTTCATCGTCTTGATTTTTATATTCGGCAGAAAAATTTCCTGAGTCATTGTAAAATTTATTACTTATATTTTCTCGATAATTAACCATGTTTTTATCTATACTTGTCATTTCTCCCCTTTTTATTCTTTCTTTTATTTTTCTTATCCTATTATCATTATTAATTTATCATTCATATAATTCTTAATCTTATCTTTATCATTTAACATCGTTCGCTCACCCAGATCTTCCGGATTTTTCATATCTCAACGTAGTTCATCGTAAATATTGGCCTTTTGCTACTCATTCTCTTGGTGAATATCCTAAGGTTCCTGACATGGTTAAATTTATTTCTCGTAATCATTATGTCTTAGATGAATTAGTCATCATGGAGGGTAAAACTGGTATACTCGATATTTCCAATATTTCTCAAGAACGTGTCCCTACTATCAAGATTATAAAAATGGATCCTAATGCTGTCAACATGCATGATATTCATGATAATTATTACTATATTGTCGAAAGTTTTATTAATTATATAGGTACTTATTTATCCCATAGGGTTATAGCTTAACATTATTATATTATCGCCTGTTCAATGCCTAAATATCTCTTTAAAGAGTAAAGGTATTGGGCAGGCTTTTCTCGCGCAAATTCTTTCAAAATGTTTGACTTATCACTTTCGTTTCATCTTTCTTCTATCACTATTATTACTATTATTTTTCTTTTGTTAGTTTCCATTCCTCTTATTAAACATTTTATCTATTCTTCTTTTAAATTCTGCGGTAATTATCAATGTTGTCTCAACTATTTAGCATATCCCAATCTTTCTGGTTTTTTATACCTTAATTTTGTAAAAATCCAATATCATTCTCAAGTGGCTCACCATCTAGGCATCTATCCTAGAATCTCATCCGTTATTAATTTCCTTTCTCTTAATACTCAATATACAATTGATCTTGATACTTCTATCCATTATTTAATCTTTACCTTGCACGAAGATCATCCTTATGCTCTCAATCGTCATGATATTCTCATTCGTCCTTCTCAAGAAGGTTTCTCCAGTATCACTATTATTCCACTTGATCAAATTTTTAAATTTTATTGTTACCAAGTCTTGAATACTCTTGGTAAACATAGACAAGATCATGTGTTTATGTAATGTCTCTAATTGCCTGCTTAGTATCTAATTATCCTTCGGGTGAAGATACTAAGTGGGCTTTACCCCCATAAATTCATTCAAAATGTCATTCTTTAAACAATTATTCAAAAAGTTTTCTAAAATTCCTAAAGTCACTATTAATCAAAATACAACTCAAAATCCTTTATTTGATCCCAATGATACCAGTTATATCAAAAAGATAATTATAAATCTCGCTGAACCACAAATCCCTGGTTTCTCTTACTTATACTTGTTTCAAAATGAATATCGTAATAAAGCATTATATTCTTTGGGTAACTCTCCTCTTGCTATCAACGTATGTCTTTTTGCGGCTCAAAATATTCAGCAATTCCCAGATTTATTAATCAATTATACTTTAGAAGTGGATTTTCGAAAGTATACTTCTTTGGTTTCCATTAGAAATACTGATCCTCCTTCCAAACCTGAAAGAATATTTAAAGATCAATGGGAAGGTACTGAAGATGAGCCTATTGAAATATTTCAAAATCGTCTTCTCCAATATGAAAATGAAATAACATATTGGAAAAGTGCTCATGAAATTTTATACTCTATTGGTTTTGATGTCATGATTCATAATCATAAATTTATTTAACTGTTTTATCACATTACTCTAAATGTAATCATCATTATGTATCATTTTGTATCAATATTTAAATAAAGTCAAATTCATTCTTTGCATCATTTTTCAGATAAAATGTCTTCTCGTCGAAATTCTCAAAGTTGAGATTCTCCCCCTGTTTCTCCTGCTGTTACTCCTCCTCTTGTTGCTTCTTCTTCCAATGTTCCCATCATTTCTCATCCTCCACCTTTTCATTTTTTCGTACTTAGTTCTGATGTATCATGTTCCAGATGTCGCAATATTTCCGAATCGTTCAATCAATTTTTTCAAAGTCAAACAGAAAATTCTATAGGTACTTCCATTACTGATCCATATTTCCTATACATCGTTTGAGACCATTTATGTGACAGTTTCCCAAATTCATGTTTTCAATATTATATAATTAGTTCTGACCAAAATCCAAATATGGTTATTCCTATTTTAATTATTCATCAAGAAGAAACTTATCCTAGTGGATCTTCATGAGGTATAAATTTACGGTATTACATTAAAATCAAATCTCAATTCATCTTTCTTCCATTTCACAGGTATTTTGTCAATCATTAATTCATTTTTATTGATCTTATTATTCATTTATCTCTCTATTTTTAAGGGCATATTTTAATCATGGTCGTTACTCATTCATCTCCTCATCATCTCTGTTATGATCCAGTTCCTTTACGTTTACTTAGTGCATGTTTTTATTGTGAATATATGTCTCGTCACGTCGATAATCTTTTTTGGGGTCTCCATTGTCCTCATTGTTATCATGTCAGGCGTCTTCATCATCGGTTACTTGGTTATATTTCTCGTTATTCTCGGGTGTATAATTCTAATCTGTCATTAGAAGTCAATTTTGCAAATATGGTTAATCATTATCACGCTTTGACGCATCCTCGTTCTATAACAATTCCTCACTATAGAATAAATCGACGTAGTTCAATATAATTTTATTTCATTCATAATAATTTAAACTTGTTATTAAAGTTGTGTTAATTTTTACATGTTCTATGATCTCCTTAATTCATATGTTGTTTATTTCCTTATTTACTCAAGTCACTTGTGTTCCCTAACAGTTCATTTTTAAATTTATCTTTTGTTTTCTCAAACTCTAATCGTTATTTACACATTTTTATTCAAATATTTAAGTCCTAAAGATCTTCCTTTTCTTTCCTTCGTTACCTATTATCTGAACAATTTTTTTTGGTAATTATTTGTTAAATTTGTTATTGTTTACAATTTTTCTAATCTATATTGTTATTATTATAGAATCATAATGTCCTTTCCCCACCGATTCCATCATTTTCGCATGTATTATCAACATTCCAACGACCATCTTCTTCGTCTCAGTAGATATTATCCTCTTTGTCATCACTGTGTCTGCTTCTCTGAGGAGTTCAGGGCAGCTAGTGTTTTTTGGTAGACAATTTCGATTATTACGTTCATAGTAATTCTTTCATGTCCAATTTTCGCTCGTTCTGTAATTATTGCAGAGGTACTTTGATAGTTTTGTTCATCATCATCCTGTTTATCATGGTGATATATTCCGTCATGTGTCCTCTTATCCTTTCGGAGTTGTTGTTATAGTTGCAGGATATTGTTGTCTTTCCTTGTCATAGTACGATTGATATTTCCCATTTTTCGTTACTTTCACTAGGTTCGACCCATCGTGTTGATTTTTATTGTGAATATATGTCTCGTCACGTCGATAATCTTTTTCGGGGTCTCCATTGTCCTCATTGTTATCATGTCAGGCGTCTTCATCGTCGGTTACTTGGTTATATTTCTCGTTATTCTCGGGTGTATAATTCTAATCTGTCATTAGAAGTCAATTTTGCAAATATGGTTAATCATTATCACGCTTTGACGCATCCTCGTTCTATAACAATTCCTCACTATAGAATAAATCGACGTAGTTCAATATAATTTTATTTCATTCATAATAATTTAAACTTGTTATTAAAGTTGTGTTAATTTTTACATGTTCTATGATCTCCTTAATTCATATGTTGTTTATTTCCTTATTTACTCAAGTCACTTGTGTTCCCTAACAGTTCATTTTTAAATTTATCTTTTGTTTTCTCAAACTCTAATCGTTATTTACACATTTTTATTCAAATATTTAAGTCCTAAAGATCTTCCTTTTCTTTCCTTCGTTACCTATTATCTGAACAATTTTTTTTGGTAATTATTTGTTAAATTTGTTATTGTTTACAATTTTTCTAATCTATATTGTTATTATTATAGAATCATAATGTCCTTTCCCCACCGATTCCATCATTTTCGCATGTATTATCAACATTCCAACGACCATCTTCTTCGTCTCAGTAGATATTATCCTCTTTGTCATCACTGTGTCTGCTTCTCTGAGGAGTTCAGGGCAGCCCAGTGTTTTTTGGTAGACAATTTCGATTATTACGTTCATAGTAATTCTTTCATGTCCAATTTTCGCTTATTCTGTAATTATTGCAGAGGTACTTTGATAGTTTTGTTCATTATCATCCTGTTTATCATGGTGATATATTCCGTCATGTGTCCTTTTATCCTTTCGGGATTGTTGTTATAGTTGCAGGATATTGTTGTCTTTCCTTGTCATAGTACAATTGATATTTC